GACAGACCTCAGCAGTGATCACCAAGACAAAAGAAGAAATGGAAACCTTAGCCTTTGCTGTGTCCCTGGTGGCTAGAGCTCTTGGCCCACTGAGCAATGGGATTGCAGCTTCCTTAGCTTTCCTTAGGCTCGTTGGTACTTAGGGCAGCCCATCAAGCTGCCCCACACACCCCTCACACCGCTCCAGTCAAGCTCTGGCTCTCCCAGCTTCTCCCTGGGTCCTTGGGCGATGTGCCTGTGCTCCCTCAGAGCACATCCCCACTCCCACACCCCTTCCTGCATTTGCACATGGAATCTGGGATGAGTTAACTGGAGAGCTGTTTTAGATATGCCTGGTATTTGAAGCATGGTCCTTGTGTAGGTATTTCTGCAACAAGGGTTTCACTAGGTTGCATAGACTTTGTTGTGAACAAATCACTGAGTAAAGGGAGGAACAAGGACCTGCTCACTCCCCTCCCTGTTAACATGTTGTAAATTAGGAGTAACTGAGCATTAAGATTATGGACTTTTATTCTGGCTTTGCAGTTGTCATCTTCAGCCAGAAGAGCCTCATCGGTCCTGGAGCTTTCATAGGAATGGCTTTGTCTTGCCCTGGGCCAGCTGGCTGGGCTCTCCAGGGAGGCTCATGTGAGCCTGTGCCCAGCACATCGGGCAGGGCTGGTCCTCTGGCTGCAATCCTGGGACAGCTGATGGTGCTCCCCTCTGCCACAGGAGCATGAGTCCGTCCCTCAGTGGCTGTCCCAAACTCCACAAGCCCCCCAGCAAACTGGTCCCAGGGGCAGCCAGGCCTGGGCTGCTTCTGCACAGAGGAAGAGTTGTTTTCATGTTCTAAATTCATTACATTAAAACAACTCTGTCCCAATTTCAGCAGCAGTTTGAATAACGCACCCTGCCTTGGTCAGCTCACCAGGAGCAGAAAGATACGGAGGGCTTTGGGGTTGCAGCTCCCAAGGGCATCATCCCCAGCCCAGAAATGTTGCCAGTGATGCAGGTTCCCAGACATCTCATTAGTATTTTCCATGTTTCTTTAAGTATCAAATTCTGAGTTTATAACAGAGCACAAGCTGCTATTTACATTCTTCCAAATGTCAGTACTTCTGGTCCTTGTTATTCAGAAAAGCTTTTGATCTGGTTGCTTTTGGGCATGGTTTATCTAGCCCATGTGGTGGAGATACTCACCTTGCTTGGACAAGTTCAAAGGCTGGAACAAACCCAGTTGGTAGGAGCTCAGGAGCGGGCTCTCTGGTCTCCCTCTAACCCTGATGGGCTCAGGAGGAAGACTGGCATCCCCTCCAGGCTCTCCATGGGATGAAGGCCATATCATGTATGCTCTCGGGGGGGTTTCAAAGCCCCCTGCGGATACCCAGAGCTGTATGAACTCTTTGGAAACCCAGCTTAGTGGTTCAGCAAATTGGGCTGCTTTCCCCAAGTTTGGGGAGTGAACAACCCCGTTTCCTAACTTTAGTTAATATTCTCTGTTTAATGAATTTCTTTCAAATGCAATATTTTGATATGCTTTTTACTCTGAATATTCAGGTAGTTTTATTTAATAATTGAAAGGCACTTAAAATGCTTTTTCCAGACCATTTTGCATGAAACTCTGTGTTCCTTCAAAAATCAAATGCATTTTGTAGACGTGTGGGATGCCCGTGGGAACATAAAATAACAATCTGACAAAATAAACACCAAGTTAAATAACTTCTGAAGTAAAAGAGGTATGGTGTGGTATACTGGAGCAGAAAGGGGTGTCATTCAACACCCAGGCTATATTTGGCTGCAGATCAACATATGTTGATACTTCTCAGCTGAATGAGAATGAACTGGATTTTAGGAAAACAATTTTGAAAAAGGCAGAAGAGTCGCTTAGATGGCGCATCACGTCTTTGCTGGATTTCAAGCCGTGATACTCAGGAGCTGTTTTGACCTTGCTTTGGGCCAGTGACCTCTTGAGCAGAGGCTGCCTGCTGAAGCTGAAGCTGCTGGGGGTCTTCCGTCTGAGGTTTGCCAGCAGAGGAGTAATAAGATGAGCTGAGTCTGAGGCTCTGCCATAAATACTGAGCTGCTGCTTGCTTAGAATAGCTGCAAAGCAAATGCAAGTGTATCTTCAAGATGTCTCCAGTGCTGTCTGCTGGAGGTAGGGCTGTGTTGGCAGGGGCTGCTCCAGGCGTACCAACACCTGCTGGGAGCATCTGAGCACTAGTTGCAGCAGGCAGTGACCTGCAGAGATGCTGTGTTGCACCGCTCCCCCCTGTGCAGAGGCCACTCCAGCTCAGCAGGGCTGGGTAGAGCCTTTGGTTCTGCCCTCTGTGAGCTGTCACTCCCTAACGGAGAGCTCAGGTGATGCCCTGAAAGTCCCAGGGGGAACACTCATGGGGAGTACCTTCATCACCTCAGTCTCTCCATACCTGCTTTCTGAGTATCGTCTTTTCCTGCCCCTTTTCCACCGCCTCCTCTGCTTTCTCCTTCCACCATTTCTCCGTATCTCCTGTTACTCCCTGCTCTCTGAGTTGATCTGCATGAGCAGTCGATGAGGTGAGGTTGGAGTAACACAACCTTCTTCCCCCTGGAGCAGTACCAGCAGCTGGGCCCAGCTTGCGGGTGCCTGTTGCAAAGGAGGGTGACGCCGAGTGCCAGGGACGGGTGTGTGAAATGTGGCCGGTCCCATCAGCCACCTGCTGTTGCTTCTGCTGCACGGCTGAAGAAGTGCATGAGCATTTCTTGCCTGACACAGTATCAGATTTGGCTTCACTTGAGACTCGTGCACCAGATTTGCCTTCTCTGGAAAGAGAGGCTTTCACCCCTGCAGAGCAGGACTGGGGGATTCTGGTGGGGGACAAATGGGACCTGAGCCGGCAATGTGCACTTGCAGCCCAGAAAGCCAAGCGTCTCTTGGGCTGCGTCACCAGCAGCGTGGCCAGCAGGTCGAGGGAGGGGATGCTCCCCCTCTGCTCCGCTCTCCTGACACCCCCCTGCAGCACTGCGTCCAGCTCGGGGGTCCCCAGCACAAGGCACAGGGACCTGTAGAGCGGGTCCAGAGGAGGCCCCCAAAATGGCCCGAGGGCTGAACACCTCTGCCATGGAGAAAGGCTGCGAGAGCTGGGGTTGTGCAGCCCGGAGAAGAGACAGCGCCGGGGAGACCTTCCTGCGGCCACTCACTATTTCAAGGGGGCTCATGGGAAAGAGGGAGAGAGACTTGGCCAGGGCTGCAGTGCCAGGACAAGGGGCAGCGGTGTTAAACTGAACGAGGGTGGGGTTAGGCTGGACATAAGAAATGTCTTATGATGAGGGTGAAGAGGCAGTGGCAAGGGGGTTGGACTGGATCATCTTTGAAGGTCCCTTTGAATTCAAACCACTCTGTGAGTCCATGATTCTGTAGTAAGAGCAGCCCTAGAGCCCTGAGAAGCTGCTGCTTTGAAGCAAGAGAAGAAGCTGACCCCCGTCTGTACCCCTGTGACCTGTGACAGC